GTTCTCTTCCTCGCCCTGCCCGCTGCTCGCACTCGAGACGCGGGCACGGTGTCCCGTCCCTGCTTGCTTTGCTGGGGCCCAGCTAGCTGCGCGCAAGGCTTCAGGGCAAAAGCAGCGCGTTGCCAAGACCCCCGCGTTTTATATCAGTAGCTGTGGAACAGGCGTGCAACGCCAGAAACTTGCACGGGAACTGGCAAACCTGAGTAGAAAGAGCAGAGGAGTCAGCTGTGACAATTAGAGCAGAACTGCATGCAGAGTATCACCATAATAAATCTTCAAAAGCCAGGAGCGGACGGCTCATGACAGGGAGGATTTGAACGGTGCTTCTGCTGAATGCTGGGCAGGCTGCCCTTATCCCTGGCTGGAGCATCACAGTAGGCGAATGAGGTGGAAGTTGTTGCATGCACTGAAAACAAGAAGTAAGAGTACTTGCTGCTGCAGGGTGACTCTTGACGTGGTGCATGTGTAAATCTCTGGCTGTATCACTCTGGGGCAAGACACACAGAGCCAGAACTGCCTTGAAGTACTCTAAAGCTGGCACTTTGCAACTCGTCAGAGAGCCAGCTGATTCGGTTTGTCAGCTCTTTATCTCCATAGCTAAATATCTGTAGGCTCTTGGTGGCATTTTCCAGATAAGTACTTTAATTTGGGCTAGTTGCAATCCTACAGTGAATAGGCTAGGGACGTTGTCTGCTTTTCTTTAGCTTTCATTATGGGGGAAGTAGTCACTACTGTGCTTCAGTCTTTGGACTGTGATTGAGCTGCACATGGGTCGATACCTTTGGGACATCACGCCCGTGCCTCACAGGTGACAAGAATCCAATCCTTGTCTTTTGTGCTTGTTCCATCAGGTGTCGGCAATGCTCTTTCCCAGCGCTTTCCCTGGAAATTAAAGCCAGTCCTAAAGTGCAAGCTTTTGTTGGTGAACAAGTATCATTGAAATGCTCATTCAAATCCAGTTCGCCCATCACTGAGCGCCTGACAGTAGACTGGACATACCGGCCCCTCGCAGGTGGTCAGATGGAGACAGTAAGCGGAACGAGGAGTCTTTTTCTAATAGAGACTGACCAGGGCTCTGTCCATGCTGAACACTTGATGATACTTTTCTGTTTCCCTTGCTGCGCTGCACTTTAGGCTTTGGGACTCTCACCGTCACCTTCTTTCCCATGTGAAATTGCTTTAGTGTTCTTTGGGCAAAAAATACTCTAGGTAAATGCATAATAGCATAATGTTGATAAAGTAGATAAACTTTGGGTTTTGGCACAAAGCCTGCATCGTAGGCTGTAGCTGTGTACAGAAAGACTGTAAAGCATTGGTAGCTTTCTTGAAGGCAGCTGTACCCTAGTAGTTGTGTCGTGCAGTCTACTGCCGATATATCTTGGAGTAGTAAGAATATGTGTGCAGTAACAGTCTGAAGACAGTGATGATGACAGCCTCTAAGGTTTATGGGCTGCTACTTGCTGTCTTGTTGGCAGCATTTTGAAATCTAAGCATAAATACATAAGCCTGCAAGCCCACTGGAAATCTCTCATTCAAGGTGGAGACAGAAAATGCACATCTTTACAGATTATCAGTGACTTCTGCTACCTGAAGGGTTTGAACTCTTAGGAGTGTCCTTGTATCTGGAACCAAAGGGTTCTGCTTGTATGAAGTGAGGTCTGCTAAGTCTCTACTCATAGGACAGCAAAAGTAAAAGCGCAAGAAGCAAAAGGTGAAGAACTGCAATGTTCTGTCTTGCACGAGAGAAGCTTGCTCTGCTTCTCAACTGAGTATCTGCAGAAGGGAAGGAATGGTGATGGTGACATCCGAGGGCTGAGGCTGGTAGATAAAAGCATTGGAGATCCAATGAAATGGGACTGACTCAGAATTCTAAAACTGGAACTTGAAAAGGTCTCCTGTATAAGAAGTGTTCCTTTATGTATATTCCTTTATGTTCACAATCCAAAAAGTAGTTTCCTTTGCTTTCTGAGATGAGTGTTTTATTGGTACAATTACTGTCTTTGCCTCCTTTTAGATTTTTCATTATCAGTCTGTTCCATATCCAACAACAGTGGGAAAGTTCAAAGGCAGGATATCCTGGCTTGGGAATGTTGCCAAGGGTGACGCTTCCATTGCAGTCCAAAGCCCAGTGATGAGCGACAACGGGACGTTCATCTGCAGCGTGAAGAATCCTCCAGACGTGTACCATAACATTCCCCAGACAACGCTGATAGTGACAGAGAGGGGTAAGCCTCCGCTTCAATAGCACATCCTCATCTAGGTGATAGAGCCGCATTGCAGCTTTGTCAGAATCTTGGGAGTCTGAGTCTCCCAAGAGAAGGTTGGGTTGAAAGTTGTGAAATTGGTTCCCTGGAGATCCACGTTAGAATTTCAGCAAGGGTTACCCCAGTCCTTCTTTCCAAGCTAAATATGTTGAGAACTATTGAATGTCCTGGGGGCAGAAAGGCACAGAGGAAGCTGTGGTGAGAGCAGAAATCAAAAGTGTGCATTTGTTCAGGAGTTCGAGTCTCTACATATTGCAGCAGTAGAACAAGCTAAATGTTTAGGAAATACTGGTCTAAAAATAACCGTCACATCACAAACACTGGTTCTCATCAATACTTAATTTCCTCATCTGCCCCACGTGTGAGACCTGCCCCAAATTTGCAGCTTAGACGTGCTGATAGAACTATATCGTGACCTGCCTTCCGTTGTAGCTTTTTGCATATAAAGCATCCTGCTGTGTTGGATATGTGGTAGGAGTCCTACAGATTCTGTGACAAGCTGTTTCAAATCTGCCAGCTCTGTGCTTTATATGAAAAGGCTAGCAAACCTGTGCCCTGGATGAACATTTGTCACAGAGACTTAAGAAAGCCATATTTTACTGCTGGTAGAACTGGGCTGCTCTTTTGTCTTTCCTGCAGGCCTTTCCTTCCAGCTAACTTCAGCAGTGCTGCTGTCCATTTTAGTATTTCTCCCTTCCGTCATTGTGGTCATTCTGCTGTTGGTAAGGATGGGAAGGAAATTCGGAGTGCTAAAGGAGAAAAAAAAATCGGGCTGTAAGAAATCCTCCATCGAAGTGTCTGATGAGTAAGTTCTGTCTGGAACCTAAAGCCTGTATTTCTACTTTGGCCTGTTGACACAGGCCAAAGCACAATTTCTCCACTGTCCTTCATTATATAGCTCTCAGCGTCTGCACTTCTGTCACTGAAATCTACTTCTCCATGAGCATAATTTAGCCAGCAGTCAGAAAACTTTGAAAAGTCCCCATGGTGGAGCATAAACTTAAGTGCTGTACATCCCTTTTTTCTGTCATTTGCGTGAGGCCATGGAACTGAAGCCACTTAGGGTTAGACAGTCTTTCACTTCTGTAATCAGATTTATTTCAGCCTAAATCAGTGAGATATTTTGCTTATGTGGTTTTTGTGTGTTGCATTTTGGTACAAAATATCCATAACAACAAAACAAACAGAGTAATGCGAGCCGGTTCCCCTGTGATGGCCTGAGCAGAGATGCCAGGTACTGAATGAGCCCTGGGGACTGAATTCCTTTCTGAACTGGAGAGGATTCTCTTCTGGAAATGTTCAGTAGTGAGAACAATAAGGTAAAGCTGCTACTGCTGGAGCTGTGCCTGGTTTTGCCATGAATTCAGTATTTCTTGCAGAATGGGTTTTTAATACTATGTTCTGATTAGTGTTGTAAGATTTGCCAGCCGAATAGCAACTCTTGTTGTATTCTTCATGGCACTTAAGTGAAATGTCTGCCTTCGAAATAAGGGACCTGACACTCTTTATTGGTTTTGCTGTGCAGGGTCAAAGGCTTTTCATCGCAGTGAAAAGCCTTCAATTCAGTGTGGTGCAACTAGAATTCACAGTCCATAGGAGATATTGGTATGTGTGTTGGGGGCAAAGTCCAACCTAATCCTGCGCTTTTTCTGCAGGCCTGAACGTACAGAGACAGGCAACTGCTTGGGGAAACTGAAGGACTGGTGTCTGACCTGTGTGGTAAGTGAAAGCTGGTGTTTTCATAAGTGGTTTTGTCAACTTTTGGTGCTCAGAGGAGGTGCCAAGAGCAGCAGGTAGAGCTTGTTATAACACCTCTGGATGTCAAAGCAGCATCCCAGATGGCCAGGCGTATGCTCCTGTTTTCCACATATGAGCTATAGGGGGTGAGAACTGCTGGTCATACTGCATTACTTGTAGGGGAAGTTGTCATTTGCCTTGATTGAAATCTGAGCTGACATTTTAAGATGAAAATTCAGAATTTTAAGTGCTAACTACTGTGCTGGGTGGTTTCTTTAAAGGCTCTGCAAAACCAGTTTGGGGTTTGACAGTGCTACAGAGGGGAATGGAGGCAGTGATCCCTCAATCCACTATGTTTCTTGCAAAGATGGTAGTGTGCAGCCTTCCCTCTTTCTTGGAGGTCTTCCTACTTGCGCTGCTTTCATCGTAACGTAATCCTGCTAAACTCTTGTGGCTTGTTTGTCTTCGGCTTTTCATTTGTTTTGTTTTGTGAAGTGGTGATTGTTTTCTAATTGTGTGTGCTTGCTTGCTACCCTATCAGCAAGCTTCTGTTAATCAGATGTGTTGTGCTGAAACTACTGACTGTTTTTGCCACCTGCTGTACTTGTTTTGTAAAACGCGCCTCTAAGTTCTGTGTGCTGGCATTAGCAGTCACAGCCGTAAGTGTGGCACATTCCAGCGTAAGCTCACTAACATAGCTAATTTGAGAGTGTTTTCATTTTTTCCCCAGTGTCCTACAGAGCAAGCTTACCTCAGATGCACCTTTACGTCTTTTATACGCGGTCAGGAAGGATTTAAATATGCATTGCTTGATTCACTATTCTAAGGCCAGTGATTTAAAATGTCCTAAATGCACGGGCCTTCAGACAGATGTGTGTTGATGGCTTCTATGCTTTATCAGATCCAGAATGAAAAATGAGCAATTATGCAAGTTAAATATGGAGTATTTACAGTTCTACATAAGTCACAGCAATTACAAGGCAGCAGTATCGGGAACAAGAGTTTTGAAAGGTGCGGAAAGCAGAAAATGCTTTATGCAAAAGGGAGAGTTGCCATGGTAGATGGAAAGGCTGCTGCAAGTGACACGCTGGGGAGCAGGGAGGCACCATTGCTTTACTGCAGGTGGAGAGATGGGAAAGAATGGGAGCCCCAATTCGGTGAGGTGAATGCTTTCAGACAGTTGGAGATTTTAAAAATTGAAAAAAGTTTTCTCATCCTTTGAGAGAAGGCGAATTTGAATGCTATAATCCTGCTGCTTTCATATTGAGTATTTTGTCATCTGTTTGATACTTTGCTCTCTGATATCAAAATATTTAGCTTACCAGTCTCTCAACATCTGTCTCACTCACTCTAAGGATTCTACATTTCTGAGGTTTCTGTAATGTACCTTTTCGTGCTTACTATTTTACCAAACAAATAAAACTGCAAAGCCAGTGAAAATCAGTTTGGACTTAAAATGGCTGGAAAGTTAGTGAGATTTACTTTATAAAGCTGTTACTTTTGAGTTTCTTTCAAGTTGAGAGCTGCAGAACTGGATTGTGGTTAAAACGACAGACGATGGGGATCTGAAGTATGTGGGTGGTTGTAGCTGAAAAATGACAACTTGTGCTGCTCCGGACCTTCTCTGTAGGGACTGGCAGTGCTTTTTAAGAAGATGACTGTCTGCACTTTATGGTTCGTCTTTTGCTTGCGCTTTAGCTGCTGCTTCTCTTAAAACACACTTCACGTGTTGGTTATGCAGCGGCAATTTGTCTGTGTATCTGTGATAAATCAGATTTAGCTGCAAGCGCTTATACGACCACCAGTCCTATGGCTTACTCAGGCACAGCAGCGTTTTGGAAGGCATTTAAGCTCTTGTCAGAAACCTAGCAGACTCAAAATGTTGAACTCGTCAGTTCATGTCTTTATACATAGTCTCAATTTCTCTCTCCATCTTCCCTGTTTAGGACACAGATGAGGAAGACCCATACTGATGAAAGATTAAAGCTATAGATAAAGAACAAAATTACAACACTGACAATCTTGGCTATATAGGTACGAAGACTGCTGGATAACCAGTGCAGATTGAAGGACCTGCTCGAATCTTGGTAGATTGGAAGAATAATGCCAATGGGATAATTCACTTTTATTTAAGCACAAAATAATGATTTTTGAAATCTTTCTGCTTTGTTGGGGAAAAAAAAAAATCTCTTAACCTCACTTCTTCAGTGCCTACAGAAACCTCAGTGCCTACAGCCGTACAGCCTGTTTCCTACCAGCACCTGACAATGCATGTTTCTTAGTTTACTTGCAAATTTGTTTCCTTTATTATTGGTGACATCCCTTCTTTCCCGCGCCCTTGAATTCGAACTGCCTGAAGCACAGGCTGCTCCAGCATGACATCAGCTCTCTAAGGCGATCATCATCGGGCATCGACAACGTTTTCTTCTGTATTTGCTAAGGACTTAAAACAGTTTGACTAAGTCGGTATACGGCATCCTTTGTCTTGGAGAGAAGAGAACCTACTGCTTTTTAACTATTTATTGGTTTAATCTGCCACTTAATTACAGGATCACCATTTTGTTCCTACTGTTTTCTAATTCTACTTTTAAGTCACCAGCTGCACAGTAGTGTTACCTTACGTTGTTGAGTTTTATCTTTCCTTTTCTTTCTCATTATTTGTCCAATAGCTGCATTACTAGGTACCTCTCCTTCTACTTGTAGAAGTGAAGCACAATTCCTATAAACCCAATTTTTTTAAAATCAGAATTGCAAATGGGGACTCTGTATCTGGGGAAACATAACCCCATCTACCTCAACCATTGACTCAAGCAGCATCCAAAGGAATGTTCCGTGTTCAGAAGAACAATCATGTTCCTCCTCTCCTCTTCTGGGTACCATTTTAGGGAAACAGCTAAACATGCGTCATTACTGCCCGGTAAGAAATAGTACTTTTTCTTTCAGCAACCTTGTCCAATAACGGATGACAGAGAGCAGTGGAATTCATGTCTGCTCAATACCTAAACAGCTGCTGTTTTCCGCTTCTCTTCTGTATATGCGGCATTGGTCAAATAGACTCCATTTACATATGTGTTATAAGTTTACTGTTGACTTTGTGCCATTACCAATAAATTGCTTTGTTTCATTCTGGGCTGTGTATTTCTCTATTTGGGTAAATATAGCTGAACTTGGCAATCCTGAGTTGTTGCTTAGCTATAGATATTGTCATATGATGATGGGTAAAGGTGTTGAGCGAACAGATTTAACTCAAAAGGGAGCATGTACCAAGTCCCCCTTTAGCAGCTTTATGATGGCTGCTGATTGCAGGCATGTTGGAGTTCCTGACTGCAAAGCAGGTTAGCTGTAGAGTTGTGTCTCCAGATGAAGAAAGGTATTTTTCTCCTGCCTACTATAAAGCAATATTTAGAAAGCTCGTGTTTCCTGATGACAGAATGTCTCTCGCTACCAAAACTTGCCTGAGAAAGGATGTTGGTGGGATATGCAGCCTAGAGGAAGTGGCTTTGTTGTTCCACTTTCAGCAGTAATACATCGCTCAAGTTCTTTGTGGAAATGCATGACTCGTTTTCTGCAAAATGTTTGTCTTCAACTGCCACTCCTTTGCAAACAGCGGGCTAGATCCTGGGCAAATGTCTCTGGTGCAAGGTAAATTGCCTCCTTGAAGCTAATAGCGTTCTGACTCGTGATGATGTTGAGCATGAATAAGACTGAACTTTCTGTTCTTTTGCTAGCTGTATGAAATTGCTCTGTGTACCATTAAACCCACTGATACCAGGGTAGAGAACAGTGATTGCTGTGGTGCTCCGGAGGAAGAGGAAGGATGAAAATATGTTTTCAAAGTGACTGGGGGGGGAGGTGCCAGCTGAAAGCAGTCCATGCTGTCTATCTTGTATGTGTTTCAAAAGGGAGCAGCTGACTACGCTGTGAGAAGCGTGCTGACAGCGGCCCTTTTGCCCCTAAGATGCCTGCTAACCTGTGGCCCCCGAGAGCATCGGTAGTAAGGCTCAGCGAAGTTACTCGGTGTCGCTTTCTGCCGATACCCCATCAGGACAAGATCCAGTCTGCAGGAGTGGCGGTTCTGTAGCCGGTTCTGATCCCCCCAAACAATCCAGGAGGGAGCACAGGCCGCAAAAGGGTTGCTTGCCGAGAATCTCTCCGTTCTTGACTTCTCGTGTAATGACTGATCAGATCAGTCTGCCACGACGGGAGGACTGGGACTGAGCCACATCTGTACCTATGAGGTGTCATCTTCTTCTGAACTGCAGACCCATCATCTGCTCTCGGGCATGGGCAGCTATAGTTCTTCTCACCCCTCCGTAGCGGTCCCTTCTGCGTTCCGATTTGTCACTATTGCAATCAAGCTCTTGACTTCCTCTTGCAAGTTGAAAGTGACCACCAAGCTGAACCTGAAATAAGAGACGTGAAACCAAAGTCTGCTAAGCAAGACAAAGGTCTTGCACATACAACCTCAAGACAATTTAGCATCTGATTCTTTCAGCTGCTCCAAATTTGTCACTACTAACTTGGAGCATCTGAAAGAATACTCCAAATTCTTCTAGTCACTGAGAAGAAGACTCAATAGACAAGTTGACTGCCCCAAGCCACACGCGGTGAGTATTTTTTGCCATAATATTTACTTTTGTTTGTTTGTGTTTTCCTGAAAAGAGAACTAGGGAAACATAGAAGGGCAGAGGATTCAGATACCGTGCGCAAAAGTAGGAAAATGTGAAGGCAGTATGGTATCTACGGGGGTTTTTTTCCACAAATCTGTTTAGTAAAAGCAATTATTCTGCAGAAGGACTTGGGTCTGTCGTCACCGTAATATACATAACAGCCTGAGTGAGTGGGTGCTGTCTTCAGCTGGTGCACGCACAGCACCCACTTGCTGGTGCACGTCGCAGAGGGAGACCCTGCAAAAACTTGTTCCCAGACAGGGCCAGAATTTATTCTGAGAAACAGGGTAATGAGTCCAGGAAGGGTTCGATGGCGAGTAAGGACCAGAGCCTCAGTAGCTCAGCTACCGAGAGCTTTTGGAGTTCTGCACATTGACACCCCCGTATGCGGGCTTCTGTGTGCCGAGGCCTTTTTTTTTAAGGTGGCTCCTATTTTGGGTCCTGAATGGGGGTGGTCCTGGGAGGGTGTAGCTCTGCTTGAGTTCTACGGCTTTTGGTAGCTTAGCTGGAAAGTGGGGTGCTTTGACCTGCTGTGCCGAGATTTGCTGCACCAGCTGAGAGCTTTGGAGCCGCGCATGAATTTTGCTGGGTGTGTAGGTCGCGTGTGCATGAGTGCGGGTTGTACAGCAAACTGTGTCACGGTAGACCTGCAAACGGCACAGTCAAACCACGCAGCTCTCCCTCCCACCTCCAAAAAACCCAACACCCAAACAGGTCATGTTTTTTGAAAGGCAGGTTTGAGAGAATGCCAGAAGGCTTGCTGCCGCTTCTCAGGATTTTGTTTGTGGAAAGGGGAGGGTGATGAAGGGCAGAGGTGGTTTTACATCATTGACTGCAGGCAAGAACGCAGCGCGCTGACTGGAAAGCCGTAGTGACTGTTCCTCAGCCTAGAACAGACCCCTGGGTCCCCCAGCAGCTAATTCTGGGCCCGTAACCCCTGTCTGAGCCTGTCTGAGGGTGTTTGTTTCTGAGCTTCCTTCTCTGAGAAAAATGCATTTGGAAAGAAAAAGGAGTTGGCAAACGTGTCTGGCCCTGTACAGAGATGGAAGCTCTCTTAGGGGATGAGCAGTGGCGGGGCGGAGGCCTTCCCCGCTCTCCGTTCGCGCTCTGCAGAGCCACAGCAGCTCTTCCGGATGCCCCCCCGCGCGGGCACGGAGCCGGCACGGCCCCTCTCGCCTCCCTGCTGCCCTTGGCTCCTGGCGTTACTGCCACCGCCGGTTCTGCGTGGAGTGCCGAGGTCGGCGGCGCTGCCCCGGGAAACCTGGATCCAGGACCACAGATCTGTCGCTGGGGCTTTCTGCTCCACGGCACTGAAGGGAACTGTGGATCTCTGCGAGCGATAGGAATAAAGGCAGACGTTTCGCTGCCTTTCATGGCTGTTTCTTGGGGAGAAATATCTGGGACCTCTTCCCCTTCTAGGCCTTGCTAAAGCTGGTCTAGAGATCCTCTCCCGTACATGATTGAGGAAAAATGAGAGAAGCCAGCAGGATTTCAGAGATTATTCGGCTCTCGTCGTCTTTCTATTTCTGCAGCAAAACCGCACGTTTTGAAAAACATGTGCTGGTAATAGCAGCCTGAAATTCAAGTGTAACGTGCAGGTTCTCCAAGCGGGAGGGCTTCTCTCAATAATTTTTTGCCCTTAAATATGTTTATCACTTTTGAATGGGCATAGCTTTGAATCACAGAGCAGAGACGCAGCACGCAGGGTACTGACGTTCGCCTTCCCGCGATCCACGCGTGGACGCTGGCTGGCCTGTCCTTCCTCGGGCTGCAGCATATGTCTACAACGTGCAGAAAGGAGACATTGGCTTTATTTGGAGGGACGTGCAGCAGGTCAAACTGAATCCAGTGACCGAACGTGGCACGTTCTGAACAGACCCTGAAGGGTTCCAGCAGTTCTCACCCTATGCAGCACCCTGGAGCGAGGGCGTTATTTCTAGAGCAAGGGGTCTATGTTTTTAGCACCAAACTTCTCTGAGAGGCAAAAACATCCCATTGCTTTCTGGGCAGACTTAACAGCTATGAACGTCTCAGTTCAGATATGCTAGAGACTTGACCCCCAAGCCACCGGAAAGATTGGCTACTTAGGGGAAAACGCAAAGGTGTTTCGGGCTGAGCCCTGCCCCCGGCGCGCTCGCTCTCCTTTCCAGGGCTCGGAGCAGTCTGGGGCGGCGCCCGCCGCCCGCGTCCGC